CAACTACCACGTATTTTAAAAAACTACCACAATTATACTGAAATAACCTTTTTTTTTAACCTAAATTGAAAAATGTTTTTTTTTTCAGAAGAGTTGAACAGTCAATTTTCTCCTCAATTTGAATTTAAATGTCAAGAAAATTTTGTATTAGTTGAAGAGCTGAATGTGCTGCCATTTAAAAATTTATATTGCGTGCGTGAAAGATAATCTGCACTTACTGAGGCGATTTTCTTAGAGATTCGACATCGCCTAAGATTACGCCTGTGAAGTTGGTTACCAACAGTATTTCCACAGGTAACAACACTTAAGAACTTATAGCAAAAATTAGAAATAAGATCTTTTTTATGACAAAAATATACATATGTACCTTCTAAGGCAATAAAAATTAAAAGCTTGGTTGGCAAATATCTCGAAAAAGTGGCGCGATAGAACAAAACTAAGAATGCAGTTTATCTACATTTGAATACTACTTCATGGTCTGATATATCTTTTTTTGGCAAATGCGGTGTGCGATATGTATTTCTATTTTCTACGACTATACTAACCGTTAAATGAGCGATACGCCGCGATTGTGTGCTTAGTGGTCGTGAGCTGACTTAGGGTTTACACCGGATAATACCCAGTTGAAATCGTTTGTATGCATTCATGAAGAATGCTTGCTATATGAGTGAATTAGTGTGAACAATTCATGCGTAGTCATGAATTTCCACAAATAAATTCGAATTCTAACGAACTGTAGGCGAACGTACGTTGTTGTTGTTTTAAGTACATTTCTTGATAAATTTTAAATAGCATTTTTGTAATATTTTCAGTAGAGCGATAGTCATCCCATTCGATGTTTTTGATAGTTTGCATTGAAACTATCGATACTATCGATAGTATCGGATATTTTAAAATGCATTGACGATGCTATTTATATAAACTTTTAAGTTTTATTTAGTTCCTGTAGAATTAGCTTATTGTTATATAGCGATTTTCAGTACCTTTGTCCCTTCTCTTCGATTTTTAAAAT